GAGGGGCGTGGGTCTCTGGCGCGGATGTGGGAAGCAGCCACTACCCCTCGGTGCCCCTCCGCAGGGTGAGGCACTATCGCTCTTCTGCCGCTCCCCCCTGCCTGGCCCGGCCTCCTGCCTTCCCGTTGGTGTCTGGCGAAGGGCATTTGCTGCTGGCGGTCCGTGTAGTACCAAAAATCCATGTGTGTGCGTCCCTAGGCCTCTCCTGCCTCCCCCACCTTTCTCCGGGCTACATGGGGGTCCCTAAGCCTCTGCAAGCTCCCAAAGGCGCGCACCCCGGGTCCCGGGGCCCCTGCCCGGGCGAGGGTGTCGCTGCGGGTACAGGCCCATCTGGGTGCTCACATGCGGGGTAGCCGGGCTGGTCAGCTGGACATAGCGGGTTAATCGTCATGGGGGCAGGGGTGGTGGTGGGAGAGCGGGTGTGATGGGGAAGGAGCCTGTGATGCCTTTTATGTAACCACAAATATTTTTTTGTCAATTCACATCAGATGGTCACACATGGCTCTGGCTGGGCCTGTATTATATTTCACCTACATTTTTCGTCTCTCTCCAAAATAGGGAGGACTCGAGCTCATGAGGATGTCTGTCCGAAAAGCTGGTTCCCACTGCAGGACGAAGCAGGGAAGAGAGGACTGGAGACGATGCCTCTTGGGGCGCGGGGGACAGCGGGGGTGGTCGGCCCGAGGAGCGGGGGCAGCGCCGAGCCTGCCGGGCAGCGCTTTTCTTCCTTCCTTCCTGCCGGAGAACAGGGCTCGCTTATTTCGGACCGAGTCCCCGAGCGATACTAACCACTCACCCACATTTTTCTTTTTTCCCTCGGTAATGACGTCCACCAAGGGTGAAATGATGGAAAGTATATTCATAGGCATGATTTCCATTAAGTATCAATTAACCTGAAGCCTCAGCCATGCGTGCACAGCGTCAAGGGTAAATCTGCATCTCATTCCCCAGCGATCTGCTCGCCTGCAAGGAAATGACCCGGAGGGCCCTCTGGCAATGGGGCCCGGGCGCTGCACGCCCCTCGGGCCCCCCAGATGCCTTCACCGACATCCCCGAGACCCCTCGCCAGGCATCGGCTCCCTCGGAGGGGCTATGCCCTTGCCGGCCGGCGGT